GAGCAATTTTAGACAGATTACATTTCAAGAATGCATACAGAACTAGGCTTAGAAAGATTAAGATCGTGTATTGTTATAAGAATGTATGGTTTTTCTAATCAATATCTGTACATAGAATCTATGATTCTTTCTATTTCCATACTACACCAGTAATACTTCTCATATGTTTATCGACAAATGTGTTGAGCCATCACAAAAACAGTATAAACTGAAATTCAAAATTGAAAGCAAGTATTCTTGAATATCGCTGTATCTTTTCCTTATTATTTAATTCTATGTCAGATGAAAATATACAAAAAAGAAAACATACTTATTGACTTAGATTAAAGACAAATAAAATCTTGTTTGAAGAAAATCACCTATGTTATAATGATGTCACCAATTTAGAAGCTTTTTTAATATAATCGGAGGAAAAGGTTAAGAATTTTGTTTCAATCATCATATCACTCCATCATTCTAGGGCCATCTCTCAAGATACTGTCCTTATTTATCATAAGTAATTTGGAGTGTGGGTGTGGAAATGTATATTTTCTGTAGAAACATGCGCATCTATATGCTCTAAGTTTTGGTCAAAACTGAGATCACCATAAAATCTATAGTGTCACATGCCAGTCAATCGTATTCTGTCATTCTCATCTACACCCAGACCAAGAAAGAACAGCAAAACTTTCATGAATATTTCTTACTTGAGTGCTAATCTAGTACTAGTTCTTTTTTATCTAGTCTTTCTGTTGTTCTTCTCAGATGATCCATAACGTAGACTTTTATTTCAAGCAAACTACCATACCTAACCTCCAACATCAAAAGTCGAAATTCTATGAAACCTTTCGGTTTCATTTTTCAAAAAGCATGCCAATCTCAAGTGTGAAGTCAGTCTCAAGAGATATAATGCAACTTTGGAAGTTTCTGTTTGTTCTCTAGGAATTTAATATAAAAATGAAAAATATGAATACATGAAAATAGATAAAATTTATAAAACACCGACGTGTTGCTAGTATGTAAAATCTCTCCCTATTTCACCATTAAAGTGCGCATTCGAAACTATTTGAAAATAAAAAGCTACTAAAATTGTTTCTCATTCATTTTGGAACAGTATGAAGTGAAAAGCTAACAAGTAATTTTGTTTACTATTCAAAATGACGAAATCGAAAAAAAAATTAGCATAACTAATAATTATTAAGAAGTTAGTCATATTAGTTGTTTATGCAAGTCAAAGTTGACATTTAAAAAGACGCAAAAATATCTAAACTCTTCACTAGTATTTCAGTATTTATCTTAGAATATACATCTTTCAACAGTATAGTTATTCCCTAATTATATTAAGAGAAGACCAAGCCCCTTATATTGATAACATTCATGGAAAACAGCAGCTAATATAAGAGATGAGATACAAAAACAATGAAACAATATATACTTCACGTGTAAAAAGAAAAACAACAAGCAAGTTAGAATGACAAGGTTATAAAAAGAGGTTACTCGTTCATTATATATTGGTGTGCAAACGGATAATGAAATGAATCAATTAGTCACAGTGGAAAAAAGAAATATCAGAGACAAAATAATTATTCCACAGTAATAACAGTTAGGAAGTTGGATGAATTGAGTCGGTTATGAAATAGGTATACAAATCAGTCCTTTCGTAACGAGTAGCACCTGTATGTCATTTTAGTGTCAAAAATAAATATATAAATGTAATGTATACATATTCTAAGTGAAATGCGTAAATTATGTATGCATCTCATAAAAAATAAGATATCATTATCAAAAATCGTTGATAGAAACGATGTCGGTATTGATGTCAGTTTTAGTGTTCTTGAAGGATACATAGACTGAAGAACACAAAATATTACCATTATCCAAACTTTTGATATTCACATCAAAGTCAAAGAATAGCAGATATTGGCAGAAAAGGTGTTCATCTCAACGAGACTTTACATTAGACGTAAGCTGATAAGAATTTCAATGATAAAAATCCTATAGTTCTCTATGCAACATTATAAAATTTTGTGGCTTCGAATACTTTCAAATTCAAGTATCTGACTCTATCCGCGCTACAAACATCTAATATTTTGAACATTTAGTTAGGGGAGAAGAGCATTAATTTGGCCTGAATATAGTTAGGTTCTTTGACTTACAATACATACCATTATATTGACAGATATTTATTTTCCAGACTTACACTCAGTTACGTATAATCTATAGTTGAAGCCTAGAGTACGTCAGCATGTCTGTTAGAAAGCGTTTCAACAAATTAGAAGCATATGAATGTGTGATAATAATTTTTATTGATCTAACACGAAATGTTTTTATATTATTAAATTCATGTTTTGGATAAATTATCAGTGTTTGTAACATCACATCATGCCTTAATGATCAGTTAGATACATCTATGCGGAAGTCTTTTGCTACATATTAAATCTATCATAAATACTTTCCTTATGATGTTGTTCTCTTTTGTGTTTATCTTTCTCTTTTATTATCACTATATATATATAAATAAGTGGTGATGGAAGAGAGGAGGACTAACGTAATAATGGACAAGTGTATGGCTTGTTCAATTATATAAATCTAGGTATGTAGCGCAAAACCAGAAAAGTTTCTCTGAAGAGCTCTAACACCATCAGATTTTAATCGAACTATACGCCATGGGAGATCTTTACGGATAGCAAGTAAAGGATTTTAACCTTTTTCTTGATAGTCAGCATTGACTAATTAAAGGTTTTCTTTAGCTAAATATATATTTAGAATAAGTCACACTGTCACAACTGTAATCATACACAGAGGAATACCTAAAAAATTGAAGGAATCTGGTAAAACAGACTTAATAAAGAAAAAAAAACGAATGTATACGCTATAAAAATAATATAAAACGTTCGAGAATGTAAAAATTTACCTTTAATCCGATTACAATAAGCTAACAGTTAAAAATGATTTATTTTTTTGTTATAAAAATTGCAAATTACCTTCATTAGAAATATCTACGTGTCTATATGATATTTAATATTTTCATTCGCTACGCCTGCATTAAAATGCGTGCTCTTTCATAATTAGTATTTTGTTTAAAGTTCTAGAACCAAAAGATTTTGTAATGTAGAATCTCTTGTATGAGTCTCCTGGTGATTTATTGAATCTTTTGATATTATTTATAACCTATGATATCATAATACTAATTAGACTTTACTCTCTACCAATTCGTTCTAAATCGCACGATTATAATCTTCTCCTATTCATTTAATTTGTCAAATTTAAATTAAGAATGATTAACGTTTGTAATTTTGACTGACTTGATCCACGAATAAACGCTCCATTCTTTATATAAGATGTAATTTATACTTAACCAGTGCAATTCATACTCACATCATATGTTTATGGAAATACAGTAAAACCTCCCTACAGTGGACACCCTTCGGACTTTCCAAAAGTGTCTACTATATGGAGGTGTCCACCATAGAGAGGTTTCATGTATTTTAAAAGTTAAGTTCCATTTTATACAAAAACCATCTTTTTCTGGATACCTCCAGTGTTAATGAATTAAATAACTATGCTGAGCACGTTAGTAATTCTCTTTTTTTGTGGTTTATCATTGAAAATGATGATAGAAATCAATAACTGTTAAATAATATTTGAATGAGATCTGTTTTAAAAAATCTCCGCTGATTGTTACTGAAGACTGAAGACCCGAATGTGCAATCTACGGTATTGAAGGCACACAAAAGCGCTGTTGTCCAAAGATGCCGGTAGATAAGCTAGTTAGCATTGAAATAGTGTAGTTTTGCAACGAGTAAAGCTACATGGATCTTATTTATGTCATGTTTTGCTAAAAGAGATCACACTTTATTAGAATGGTATTCACTGATCATGGCTGTAATAAAGATGAAACTGAAAATGAGCTTCACTATCAGTCTTATTATCAGATTTAATTTTTTGCTATTTAAGACTTTAACGAATTGGATGTAATAGCAGTTTTATGCAAAGCATGATTTCTGCTTCTTCGCTTTTCTTCTCTTTTTTTGAATTTGTCAGAACTCATGGTCCCGCTTTCTAATCACTAACTGATTAAAAAGGAGTCTACATTTTGAGCTTGTAACACGAATGAAACCAGTCTCACGTGTTTCGTTTGTAAATGAGATAACTTTAAGACCAATTAAATCTTTTTCTGAGTAACGAAACTATCCGAAAACAGTAAAGCTGTTTCATTACGGTCAATGATTCAGACAAGGTTGCCAGGCTTTCCGCCAGACAGATACGGTCAAATTTTTCATAACAGCTTCGACCGGTCTCTCGATTAGAAATAAGTATATCGCCAGGTGAAAACAGAAATGAAAGACTGAAGTCCACTATACAGAGGTTCCATTCTAGCAAAAATTGCTCGGTCGGACCACGGAGTGTACACTATAAGGAGGTGTGCACTATAGAGAGGTGTCCACTAAGGGAGGTTTTACTGTATTACACATGTTGACTTTGAATGTGAGTGTGGATATCACGTGGAGTACGTCTGTCGATTTTCTTATGGGTGACTATGATCATAAGGCTGTTGATATCAATATGGCATAGCGCTTTCTGCAATTGTTCCACCGAAAGTATACATATTGGAATACCTATATGCCTAAACCTGTATCTATAACTAGACCTCGACCCAGAACATAACTCACGCCCATAGCAACTATCAAATATGTAACTACTTTAATGTTTAAGTTGAAACTAATACTGTGAACTCGAGAATAGCTTTCATGTTTTGAGAAATTGACTTCTCTAAAAATGTACATGACGTGTTTCTGCGTGCACCGGCGGCCTAACTGCGACATGTCAGTATCATGAATAGAATCTTAGGAAAAATAAATGGCTCATGTTTCTTTTCGTGCATAGAAAAAGAAAGTATTGTTAATATTCTTTTATAATGCTTTGAAGGAAAACATTACTGAAATATTTTTATCGATTCAAATTCGTAACAATTGTACCTTTATCAACACTTCACGGCAAAAAAATAAAAGCTAAACGGGATGAATCGTTTCGGTGATATCGATACTACATTTAAAAGACTGCCACCTGTTTATGACTTTCATGCTGAGAAACTTGTTTCGATTGAAAAAGCACTAGAACCTATCGAATCCCAGATTAATGAACTACCACGTTTTATAAAGATAGCCAAACGATATTGTCATTTTCCATCAGAACATGGACTAACACACGATCAATCAGCTGCTGTTTATATATATACAATGGAATGGGGTGAGACTACGTTATATCGTGTATTAAATGAAGCTTTACGATGTGAAAATCGAAAGGCACTAAATATTTGGTTTCCCTATTTAAAACTATTTGACACAGCATTGGATAAGTTACCTACTGTCAAAGAAGTAGTGTGGAGAGGTGTACCTCATGATATTGGGAAAAACTTTACCAAAAACCAAACTTTTACATGGTGGAGTATTAATTCATGTTCTTCATCTGTCAACGTTATTGGAAATTTCTTAGGCGATGGTAAAAATGCAACCCTTTTTCTAATTGAAGCTATTAATGGAAAAAAAATTTCTGGCTATACAGAGCATGAATATGAGTATGAAGTTATTTTACGAATGGGTACTGAATTTCGTGTGAAAACTAATGCATTAAAACATCCGAACGGTTCACATGTTGTACATTTAATTAAAATTGATGAAAGTATTGATCAACCATTAGCATCGGCTATGAATAACATGCAACTGGCAACAGCAAAACCATCAAATAAAAGTACATCGAGTAAGTTATTTATATTATTTCTCAAGAAAATAGCGCTTTCAAGAAGCATTGAAAACTAGTAGTTAGTGTATATAAGATATTAGAGAAAATTTAATTAATTGGAAAGAAATATTGAATCTATAAATAAGGTTCTAACAAAGACCTAACAATAAAATATTAAAGTATTGGAAAAAATTAATATTCTTCATCAAATCTAGTCGAATCATATGCAGACTTAAGCTAAGAGTTTCTTCAGAGACTTTTCTGGGTTTTCCACATAAAATATTATCTTTAATTCTTCAAAATTTTCGAGATTGTTAAAAAAGAAATACGTACTAGAATGGATGATCTAGAGATTATGTTTTTTAATATTTCAACTTCTTGTTTTTCGTAGAATTTATTATGAAGGATTGTTTATAAGTCACAATCACTTTCGACGAAACCTTGTTCAATAAATCTTACACATAAAATCTATGTTTTTAATTCGAAAAAATCATAAAATGTAATACTTTATACTGGAACTAATCAATTTTTCTGGAAATACAGATTTAGTAGTCCCAATTCTGCTACAAAAACAAACATTCTGAGAAAAATATTAATAATCTGGGTCTCTACTAATCTATTCTAGCTAAGAATAATATGATAATTTGAAATAAAAAAAAAAAAGTATTTTCTAATTTTCTTTTCAATAACCTAACCAGGTTATTTATTGAATTACTTTTACTTTCTCAACATCAAATGAACCAAATGTTAACAAATTTAAATTACAATAAATGATATTATTAATTTATGACAATTAAATTGCATATTTTATTAGTAAACATATATTATTCTCTAAAATAGCGATGAGCGGAAGTCTTTCATATTGTTATTATGAAATATCACGAGCTGCGTATGTAGTAACCGTGTACATATCATGCTGAATGCACATCCATTATGATCTACATCTTTGGCAGATGCAACCATAAGAATTTTTCTATCTAAATATTTGTAAAGTCATAAGTATAAATATATGTTTTTTCTTCACTCTCCTCATTGTTGGTCATCCATACACGATAGGTTTTTCTTTCATGCAGTTATTTGTCACATTATTATTAAAATGTTGCTGTTTGTATATGTGACATGGATAGAAAATAAAGTAGAAATGAGATTTGGACCTCACAAAACTGTCTGTTAAACTTATAATTTCGACACATACTTTTGCTGACATTGCTTTTCATGATTTAGTTGAAAATAATTTATCAAAAAAAAAAAGAATTTAATTCTACTTGTGAGAAAATAGAAGGTAATCCATTTGAAATCAGGTTTATGATAATTCTTAACAATTTCATTTATTTTGCTTGGCTCTTTTAGGTAACTTTCCTTACCATTCTGTCCCCTTCAGTATAAGTTTGATCAACTGTTTTCATACAAAATGAAGCGCAACACGAATGTAAAAAAACAAGTAAACCGAAACTACTTTTCAGTACTTTTAATATTAATATAGTAAAATAACACAACTTTCTTTTTGCTATTTTTCGCTTGTCATAGTACTTGCATTATGCTCTACGGTGTTCCAAAAGTCGAGAATCCCATACTAATACTCTAGAAATCACTGAGCAATGTTTGTCAAATTGGAAATCATGATATTCAAAAAATATCGTCATCACTCTAGCCACAGCTTCCGTTGTTGATAGACGCCGTAACGAAAACTAATCAAAAGATATTGTTCTTCAGAGAAATTTTTCTTCTCTTACATTTGACGATTTTAGCACATTAAAACTCATTCGACCATTAGTTTCGTACCTTTCAAATGTCAAATCATAACTGCTAACCTACAAATCACATAGATACGCTGAACTTAGATTTAAAAAGAGCACAGAATGTTAATGTTAATTAGGGATTTTGAAATTTCTATTCATTCTCTTAACTGGTCAAAAAATCAAAAGAAACATTGTCTTAAGAACCTCTCGATTGACACAGAATCCTGATATGCAGAGTCAGTTATCATTATCTTTTAAGCAGGATCTAATACTGATGAAAATCGAAGTCTTTACAGATATGAATTCAATAGATATCTTTGTTCGTTGAAGCTATTGAGAAAGAAAAACTGTAGGACATGATTTATAAACAATATTACATCGGAACTGCATCATATATCTTCACATTGATAGAAGCTTTATTTAATGACCTTGGATAACTGTAGATAGAAAAGAAAAATCAATGAAACCATGAAAACGTCAAAAGAAGGTACTAAAATGTCATCAAATCATAAATGCAAACTGTAGATATAGCAAATATCCAAATCAAGAAGTTCTTTAATAATAAGTTTGGTAAAATAAACGTTTCCCTAACTTCGTCAACTCTTTCTAAAAATAAAGCACAAATATTTGTTGTTTTTCTTCACTCTCATATAGTTGTACACTTTGAATTAGGTAACTCTACAAATGAACGAGAATCGCTGCTTCTCGAAAAAAAGAAAAATGTAAGAAGTTGTTTATTTTCATTCGATTACAGAATCTTATATTTCCAAGAAAGTAAAAACAAATGTTATCAAACAATAGTTAAAGGTACCCTTAGTATATCCGTGTTTATTTTACAAGGTAGTGATTAAGATTATTTTATTTATGTCTCTCCTATTCAGATCTCTACTGGATTTGAATTTAAAAGAAAAAAAATTCTCTTGTCTTTCTTTTTCTAATCTAATTAGAGTGTTTGTTTAATATCTCTGATCTTATTTCTTCGTAGAAAGGTAAAAGGATCAATAGGATCACTTGTCTTCGTGTATGTATAGATCCCTTCTCTCGTGAAAGGACTGAGATACTACGTAGTTGTTTAAAAACAATTATAAAGTAGCCGTTACAAATACTAAAATCTTGTAATTATATTGAAAATGCTCGTTGAATCATTTTAGTTTCGAGTGATTGTACGGTGTCTTGAACATTGTGTAATTAATAAATCGATGGTTTATCAATACTAGAATATAAACATTTGATTGAGAAGAATTAAGTTTGATATATAATCTTATCTATGTTCTATAAGTACAAATATTGTCAATACTAATAGATAAAGACGTAATTTTCTAACGTTTACGTTATCATTATTTTTCTTGAAAGTTAATTTATCCTGCAATCTATTATATACTTTTCATTTTGTTAACGTAATTAATTTTCTATCATGATACACCTACGTATCAACATACAAAATTATATATGTAAAGAGGCGCAACAAGAAAAAGTTTCTTGATCAGAAAGAGTTCTACTACCAAGTAAATGACAATGAATTGAACGTATTTTCTATTACTAATATGTTAATTTCTGTTCAACTTCAGATGATATAGTAGATAAGATAGTCGCTGTATGTTTACGGAAAACAATTTTTTTTTTGCATGGAATCAAATAAACTATAATACTACTAAGATAAGCTGTTTTTTGAAATCGTACTTGAATATTTCAAAGTACACCGAAAGCATTTTATTGTTTTCTAATTTTGAAAAGCAACTAAAGATTCCCACGAATTGAACAATGCTATTGAATTGACATGGAAATGATTTTCTCCTTTTTTGTTTCATGACAAGTTTTCGATACAGATGTCTCTGATTGTAGTTCAATAGTGAATAATCATAAATTTCCTATGTTAATTCCACG